CCCCTCAGTCTCCTTTGCTTGAGGCTGAACAGATTTAGCTCAAATAACCTTTCCTCGTATGACATTCCTCTAAGACTTTCAGAAGTACTGGTGCTCAGTGGAGAAAGCCCTTCTCTTCTACGAGTCAGAGAGATGCCACGAGCCCTCAGCCAAGATCGACATCAAGGACATCGTCTGCCTAGGAGTCAGCCGGCCAGATACGTCCAACAACACGGGCTTCATTGACAGGTGGGTCCTTCTGAAGCACTGCTTGACTGCTTGACCTCAACAGATGTTTTATGGAAGATTGAATTAAATTGGTGCTTTTTGGTCTTTTTTGTAGCATAAAAATAAATATACATTTTTCTGTGTGTACGAAATTGTCTTGCATGTTATGTAATACCAGGACACATCCAGCAAGATAAATTCCTTGCGTGTTTAGTATACTTGGGCAATAAAGATCTGTCTTTCTTTCTGGTTCTTATTGTCATTGGCTGTAGGTTCCGCTATACATTTGAACTGTGCTTATCCTCTGAGAAGCTCTACCAGTTTGGACTGGAGACGCCCGATTCTCTCCACAATTGGGCAAGAGCCATTGGGAAGGTGACCGATTTATTCTTCTTTCACCTGAATTCAGTCACATAACATCCTTGCAGTTCGCTACTTCTGACGCCCATTCTTCCTGTTTTAGACGATTTCCACTAGCTACCTTGTCGTTCCTCTGCTCGGTTTCTCCGAGGTGAGGGCCAACATTCTGTTCACCTTCTCCTCAGGCTGCCACCCCCATCAGTTGTCACTGTCTGCTGGCACGTGAGTTCGAGAGGGTGGGCATCCTGCGCTACAAAGCCATGCTGGACCCCCGACAGTGGAAGGAGGGCTACTTCGTGCTGCAGAAGTCCAACCTCTTCATCTGTCCCAGCAGTGACGGCGCTGCAGAGGACATCATTAACCTGAAGCACCTCCAGGAACTCAGTGAGGCCCAAGCTCCCTTTGTCGCCACCTTGTGGAGAACTCCCTGCGGTTCAAGGCTCCTCCTAACTTCTGCGTTCATCTTACAGGTGTAACATTTCAAAATGAAAACAATGAGAAGAAAGAAATTCTGGTGTTGGTTGAAAAAGGAAGGTCAGTTTTTTATAATGCGTGATTCACACACACACACACACACACCTTTTTTAACCCTTAAAAGACGCTTCAAGGCTTAAACACTGGCCTTAAAACCTGGGTATAATTTCCACCATCCCACCCCATTCCATTGTAACATACCATTGTAAAGAGCATTATCGGGGTCGGATGAAGAGTATTAAGTGCACCTGGGCGACGCATGACATCACGTCATAAAGAAACACAGCTGATTGGTGGCTCATGGAATACAGAAATGCAACTACCTATTGAATTGCAGTAATTAAAAAGACATTGGTGAATGGGCTGGGGAGGGTTATGGGTGGTTGTTCTGCTTAGTGGTGCCCCCCACAGATGTGGTCCTTGTGCCCAAATGCCCATGTGGTTGACCCGGGCCGGAGTGCTGGCTTTCTGCTGACCGCTGCCTGGATGACATGCCCCTATGTGTCTCTACAGGACCCTATACCTGCAGGGTATGGGCAGGACAGACTTCTCCCTGTGGTGCACAGACATCCAGACGGCCGCTGGGGGGAAGGGGAACACGCTACGGGACCAGCAGCTCAGCCGGAGCGACATCCCCATCATTGTGGACAGCTGTATCGCGTTCATCACTCAGTACGGTGAGCAGCCGGAACGTAATGAGGCTTCCATCCTGCTCTCCTCACATCTCTCCCATTTCATCCAGCCGCCTCACTCACAATGGAGGGGCGGGTTTCCGAAACTCACTCGGCCCATGATTGGTTGTTTCTCCAATTAGACCGACCAATCACCTTAAGTCAGGTTTCCCCGTCAGATGTTAGTTTACTATCAAAACGTATTCAGTCCACATGTAACCCAATGTGGAACTTTCCTAAATTTTTCAAAACGCACAAAAATTTTCACACCCACGAGTGAATTGTGGAAATTTGCTCTACATTTCTGACTCCATGTCTACATTAGGGGTCCTTGGCCGTTTTCCCTGAGTGCCAAATTCCATAAGTGACACAAAGCCAAGGTCCATAGGTACCCATAACATGTGCTTGGGGGTTAGGGGTATCCCCAGCAATAAAATTCACCCGGCCATCCATTCCGTGGTGCAGATTACACTGTGTCTATATTATTAATTTAGCAGATACTTTTATTCATAGTGATGTTCAATTGCAAAAGTAAGATCAGTCAACTCCAGTCCCTGGAGTAACTGGGCCCAATGGCGAAAGCGCTCTGCCGGATTTGACCCAGTGACCTTCCAATCACCAGCACAGAGTCCAAACTCACCACAGCTACACGCCGCCCCAGTAGAAAATTTCTAATATTCCTCCGATTTACCTGTTCTAGTTCTGCCGTTGTTTGGCTATTCCAAGGTGACAATATGCATGCGTTTTGCTTTTTAAATGTGTATTTTGGGCCTTGGCGCTGTGCTCCCCAGGACTGGGACATGAGGGGATATACAGGAAGAACGGAGCCAAGACCAGAATCAAGCTGCTCATGGAGGATTTCCGCAAGGACGCTCGCAACGTCAAGTTACGCATCGGGGACAACTTCATAGAAGATGTCACGGATGTACTGAAGAGGTTCTTCCGGGAACTGGACGACCCCATCTTCATGGCTGACTTGCACCCACTCTGGAAGGAGGCAGCCAGTGAGTGACATGCCTTTAGCGCCCCCTAGTGAATGGTTCAAATCACAGAGGAATTTAGATGTGAACAGTTCTGAAAGGCGGGTTTATAGTTTCACGTTTGCAGTTAGGTCTCTGGAATGATCTGAGCCACCAGAAACTCACACATAGTTCCCACAGTATACTTTTTACTCATATATAATTGATGGCTGTGGCTTCTGGGATGACGTTGAAGATACGCTTTTCCTTTATCCGTCCTTTGTAGAGATATCCAATAAGACGCAGAGGTTGGACAGGTACAAGGAAGTCATTCGCAGCCTGCCCAGGGTGAACAGGACCACACTGGCCGCGCTGATTGGTCACCTGTATCGGTCAGTCACTTAACCTCACGTGGTGTTGTAGCTCCGGTTCCATGTTTACAAATCATTGACCTTTGACCTGTGGGGTTCTCTCTCATTCGTCCAGGGTTCAGAAGTGCGCCGGCCTCAATCAGATGTGCACCAAGAACCTGTCGCTGCTGTTTGCCCCCAGCCTCTTCCAGACTGACGGCAAGGGGGAGCATGAGGTGAAAATCGTGGAAGACCTCATCGACAACTACCTCTATGTCTTTGATGTGAGTACGGCCACAGACACGGGAGGGGCCTGTGAGGGCAACACTCACCTCGCCTCCCCGTAGCTCAGTGATCACACATTTCACCAATACTTCTGCGATTGTCAACTGCAACTGCAGAGCTGGAAGGATGACGGGGAAAATGGTGTTTGTAGCATAAGATATGAATGATGAGATGACACCAGCCAAACGAGTAATGAAAATACAATCTGGTCACATCATAAAGATTCATAAACATGCGTCACTGGGTCATTATAACTGTCTACCTCCTTTTTTTTTTCTTAGTTTTTGGTTCCTTTCCTCTGGTATCTTCTGCTGTTTTTCCTTTTCTCTCTGTATTATGGACTTTTTTGTACTCAGTATATATAGCAACACACTCTTGTTAAATGCCTTGGGGCGAGTGCATTGTTACAGGTGACATATGACAGTATGTTGAATTTAGCTGAATATGTCGCTGTCGTCTCATAGGTTTGTTAATCATTGCCAGGGTAATTTAAACCTCACTCATCAGAGCAGAAAAAAATGACAAAAACACATAACGTGGAACTTTAAGACTGAGTGTATGTGACATTTGTCATAAGCCCAGTCTCTGTCTGCTTATGCATGTAGATTGATGAAGAGCAACAGACCCAGATAGAATTAGAGATCAGCCTCATTACTACCTGGAAGGATACTCAGGTAATACCGGTCTTCCCAGTAATCCAGTTCTTTGCACTCATTTTCATTACGTATTTGTCATAATTGTGTACTTGTATTTAATGACTTATTGAAGCACCTTAATTTGTATTTGTGTTTAATTCATGTTTACCGGTGGCCAGAGGGACTTGCAGAGTAAGGATTTTATTATATTGTGTAACTGTTTACTGTGTACATGATGAACTGCTGAGTCATGGTCGTCTCATTGTTGCCGGTTTTGAGTTTTGCTCAGTGGCATGATCACAGCATGTGACTGATATTAGAAGGTGTGTGAAATGAGTGACTCTTTCCTTTCTGACTCTATGGACGTTTTAACCTTTTTACGGTTCTGCAGCTGTCCCAAGCTGGCGATTTAATCATTGAGGTTTACCTGGAGAAGAAGATACCTGACTGCTGTATCACTCTCAAAGTGAGTAGAATCCAGAGTACCATCATCACCACTGTGATATTAATAGTGTTAATAATCTGAAAGCAGTCAATCTATTTCCACCAGTTAGAGAACATTGCAGAAAAGCAATTGCATTCAGCACATTTCATATTCTGAATTTTTACAAGATTGGCAAAACCTAATTATTAGGTAAAAGGTAACGTCTCTAAATCAATAACAGAATTTGGCAAAATGGATGATCCATGGCCTGCTTATTTGGAATAACACACAGCATGTTTCATGCTGTACTTTAGTGTTCTCCCCCATCTGACTCAATTTAAATACCACTTTAGTACAGAAAAGCTTGTTACCAAATTCAGACTGAAAATTCTGCCCAAAAATTCTGAAAATTAGATAAGGAGGAAAAATTTTTGGCAGGAAGACGGGGAGCTGAAAAACAAAAATGATTTTTAAACCTTAATCACACTATTAATAGTGTGCTGTCATTTAGTCTTTTTTCAAACCCCATAATATTTTCAGTTGGATGTTTACAGTGCTCAGCCTGTGAGTGGTATTTTTATAATCCAGCCACATGGGGGCGCTCCAGTACCACAGCACATGCTTCAGTGTCTTTTTGTTCCACAGGTTTCCCCAACAATGTGTGCGGAAGAGCTGACCAATCAGGTGCTGTATCTGAGGAACGTGCCGGCTGGCGAGAAGGACGTGTGGCTGACGTTCGAGGCGATAGAGGATGGGGAGCTCGGTGGGGACCCGCCTGTTCCGTCAGCTTCCTCTTTCATTCTGTTCATTCATTTTTGTTTTGGTTAATCATGGGACAGAACAAACAACAACAAAACAAACAAGTGTCAGTAAATAATAAACCAGTGTTTCAGTTTTGATAGCTAAAAGAATTAATTTGAACTTACAATCAGACAGCATGTTTTGTTTTGTTTTTTTTTCCCCCTTTTTTTAGTGTAATAGCTTCTGTAGCGCATTGCGCTAACAGTTCAAACGTAGTGAGTTAAAATCCCAGGGTGCACATACATTGTATCCCTTACCTCAACTGTAGGTCACTTAGGATAAAAGCAACAGATAAATGAATAAATGTAGTATAAACGTATATTAGCAATCATGTTAAAATACATCCGTATTGCATATGTTTTGGCTTTCGTTAAAGTTTAGTCATGCTTCTCTTAAATGAAAAATCCTACACAAATAGTAGCAAAAGGTATAAATATGTGCTTCAACATTGACGAAGGAAATCTGGGTTGTGCGAGCTGGTCTTTTACTGGAACAAGCTGTCCTGCCTCTTCCCAGAGCGCCCCCTACACCCGAAGGAGAAGGTTCTAGAGCAGGCCCTTCAGTGGTGCAAGATGGCCGATCCCAGCTCCGCGCACTTGCTGGTTAAGAAGGTGCCTAGAGGAGAGGCCATCAATATCTTTACAGGTAAGTTCACTTGTGCTGTTCAACTCTGCATATTGTCTTTGATCTTGGTCTATTTCTGTGTCAGGTTCAGGAAGTAACCAGAACCAGTAGTAAGATCAGCACATTTAACTAAGATCTAGTACTACGGTCCTAATTGTAACTTGAATATCCATATCTTAAAAATCATACCTTTTCAATCTGGTAAATCGCACCTTTTGTAAGTGGAAATGCGGAGGTGATTTTGGACATTTCTGTCCTGCCTGCAGCCTACAAGAGTGAGATCGTGAAGAGCGGGACCCTCAAGTGTCGGGAGGAGCCGCCCAAACTCCTGCAGGGCAATAAATTCCAAGAGCGCACCTTTCAGATCCAAGATCACAAGCTGCTGCTGCTGAAGGACAAGAAGGTACCGCCCCCGTGTGCCGGCGCGACCAATCGCAGAGCTCCTACGGTACCACCAGCCAATAAGGAGGCCATCATAAATATGACCTCTTGTTATAGTAACATTACATGATTGTGCATTTATGCCAAACAATTAGTAGGATTATTTCCACCATTTTGAGTTGTTTTTTTTCTTCCATATTTAAGAGTAACAAGCCGGAAAAGGAATGGTTGTTAAAAACGCTGAAGATTTACATCGGAATTCGAAAGAAGCTGAAAGCACCTACCAAGTAAATATTGCAGTTTTATATTTTAAATGAATTCAAATTTCATTTTATCTTTATAAAAATTAATGTTTTTTTTTTTTTTTGCATTTTTACTTTAGGTTGATATAGTAATGGTGTATATATTAGTGTGCAAATGCCCTATAGACGATCTCATTTCTCTCCAGGTGGGGATTTACTGTGTTATTGGACAAACAGCAACTGTAAGTATTGTGAAAAATGTGCTTTTCAGATATTGATTGCAAAAGATAATCATGGCAATACAAATAATTAAATTTCTCTTCTAGTCTTAAGGCTTATGAAGAAAGATAGACTCTGTCCCTTAAAGAATGTTCCGTTTAACATTTGATACTGGCGGTTCCCCTCCTGAGGTTTGAACTTGTAACCCTGGGGTCACGAGTTCAGTCTGCTAACCCACTTTACCACCTGTTCGGTAGTTAGTGAACAGAGAGCGGTCGTTCTCTGAGAGTGAAGCTCTGTCGAGCGGTGGGTGGAGCACGCTTTGCCTCAGGGTGCCGAGCAAGCGGAGAATACCGCCCCGGATGGTCGATGGACTCCTAGTACTTTACGAGAGGGAACACTTTCACGTCATGTTTCCCAAACCCTTTGGTGAGAAGTTCTTTGTGTTCAGGTACTTATGCAGTACCAGCGAGTCAGACCTGTGGGACTGGATGTTAAACTTTCTTAAAGCGCAGGTAAGCCTCCTTGTTACGTTCCCCAATCCGCCATCCGCCTCCAGGTCTACATGGCCCTTTTTAAACGCGTCGGTCTCTCCTGCAGCATGATGACCTCCAGGCCCCAGTGCTTAGACGTCACTCCACCTCCGACATCTCCAAGCAGAAGTTCGGGACCATGCCTCTGGTGCCCATCCGAGGAGATGAAAGCAACTCCACCATGCTGTCAGCCAATCAGACTCTGGTAATGTCCTCCTAGCAGGTTCCTACCAGAGCAGGGCTCTAAAAAGCCTCCTGTCATTGTTTCCGAGTGCTTTTTGGGTTCCGGCTTTCTGCTTTTCCATCGGGGTTCCCTTTGGGCCCGGGCACTACGTTTAGGCTGCTTTTGTAGCTCACCTGGTGCCCGTCTGTCCCTGTGTCTTTGCAGCGAAAGCTACATGCAAGGAGGACACTGTCCATGTTCTTCGTAAGTACGCCCCCTGCTGTTTTCAGCATGACCTGCATCTCTCTGGGCAGTTGCCTCCGCATGCCATTCATATGCCAAGTCTTGTATCCCATCAATATGTTCGTTACTGATCCAGCTGGTGGCATGTAAGGGGTAGATCCTTAGAGCTGGGAACCCCCCCCCCCCATGTTTGGGGGTGGGGGGTGTCGTGCTGAAATTAGCATGAATATGCATGACATTCTAGTCATTTTCTTCTGCTGAAGAACTGAGATTTGGCCCTAATCTCTGAGGAGTTTGTACTAAAGCCTACTGCTCTTTGCATGCATTGTACTACAGTTTAACCTACATTTTATTAATTTGCTTCTACTTTTTTTGTATAACTGTAATGTCATCCTCCTCACAGCATCCTTCTTAACATCTCACCGATTTAACACTGATTCCTATTGAGCTTCCTGCCATGACAACAGCAGTTGTTTGACTGCATGGACTCCAGGAAGCAGCAGGCGATAGACAGTGGACCTGTATTGTTGTGCCATCGCCTTGAGGGATAGATGGAGGTTTAAGGAAGGCCTTACAGACCCTGGATGAAGCCATCCCTGCCCCCCCCCCCATGTATTTCCTGCCTGATTGTCTGCATTTTATTTCCCTTTGTCTTCAGCCCGCTGCAGGTTGTGAAGCCAAAACAATGGCCTAGTGTTTCAGAGGGTAGTGCTGAATGTTTGCGTCATAAAGACATCATCTTTCTTCCTCAGAATTGCAATGTTATCCCAGCAAATGCTGGATTGTGTTCCATCGTAGTCGTGTCTGATTTACCTCCGGCAGTGAATTTAGGTGCTGAATCCTACAGGTGTCCACTTGACAGGGTGATGGCACCATTTCAGTACTAATTCCCGCCATTAACGTACACGTGTGCAGTTCCGCGAACTCTCCTGCATCTGCAGAATCCTGAAGAAGAGTTTCAGCTCTCAGTTCATGACACTGACCCCGTTTCTTCCTCCCCCCCCCCCCTTCAGCCTATGAAGATGCAGCAGGATTCATTTGAGGAGAGAGCAGAAACTCCGGAGCCATTGTATGAGGAAGTGGGTGATTTTAGTCTGCAGGTGCTCGGATTGCCAGAAGCCGGCAGCTCCGAGACTAAGGAAGTGCCGGACAGGCCAACCAGCCTGGTGGCCAGGAAGACGGCATCCCTGGACCGGATGATCGGGCCCAACCCCGTGTGTCTGCTGCCCCCCGCCACCTCGCTGGACACCCTGTACCGGGACGAGTCCCGGACTCTGGACACCGGCCTGGCACTGCAAGCCTCACCCAGGAGGAAGCTTCTGCAGCCCAGCGACAGATCCCAGGGGATGCTGCTCCAGGAGCTCACCACGGTCTTCAGCAGGAAGAACGAGGGCGAGGCTGCGGACGCCGGCGGGGACGTGAATTTGGAGGGACCTTGAGTGAGCGCACGGCACAGATACGCCGCGCCGAGAGTTCGCCAGACAGCCCAGATCGTGGCGCGTATACAAACGTTACTCTTGGCGGCCATAGTTTCTTTAACAAGACTGGATCTAGTGGTATTAAAGCGTGTATAACCTTCCCTCTCACACAGTGCAAGTGGATGGGTTCACACAGTCAATCCCACCTGACCTGTTCATGGACACGTTGACCCACAACTCCCATTGGACCGATGGACGGCGTCTGTGCTCTCATTCGTCGCACTTGCCTTGGCCACCTCCCATTTTGGCCACAGTGGCACCATGTGTGTTCATGAGAGAACAACTTTCACCACATTCGCTTATTTCATGTCCTTTTAGGACCATGAGATTTTTCTTCTTTTCTTTTTTTAGTCACTCGCCCCCTGCCAGCATGTGAACAAGTCCAGTCTCACACCTTTTTGCATATTGAAATATACTTTACAGCCTGCGTATTTATTTATTTATTTTTATAGAATAACGGTATTTTTTAGAATTACTTTTTTTGGGTAGTTTGAAATACACTGTGACGCGAATATCAGCTAGATGGGAGTATAGAAAGACACACTGAATATTAGATTAAAATCGTGAACACTAAAAACATTCCAAATTACACAAAACAGATGCGTTTGGGAGTGATGACCATGTTAGTATTTGCAGCATGCAAAAAAAATTGTGAAAATTGTATTTCTTTCAAAATTCCTGTAAAATTACGATCGACTTGTATTTGAACACCTGTGTAAGGCTCATTTTCGTATTTGTACAGGAGGGGGCAGAGTTGAGCCGGGGTTTTATATTACAACAAAGAGTACAAGGTTAAAGAATCGCCTTGGAACCAGACATTAATGGGTGACACTTGTAACCAATATCAGACAAAAATTTAACTGCCTAAATGTGTTTTACTGCTAACTCTTATCGAGATAAGCAAGTAACGTATTTTACCGACACAGCAAATCTGAGCGGGAGAACGACTCAAATAAAAGTACATTATCTTATATATATATTCGTGGGGGGTGATTGCTATCGGTTTAACAAATGAAAATCTTCAGGAACAAAATTAAGAATGTTTTGCAAAAGTGACTAAATGGCAAGTATTGGAGTTAAATGTCCTATAAGCTCATTTTCTGTGATGTACAAAGCTTTGACTGTTCCTTCCCTATGGAATAAGTATATTTAGACTTTTAAAATGTAGTACACAATCTTAAACTTGCATAATAACGTTGTGCCTTTTAACCAACGTCAAAATACGGAGAGCACCCAAGAGTCGCGCACGATGTAGTCCTATATCTGAACTGACGGAGAACAGAAAAATGTTACCTGCCTTTCTTAAAACAAAAAAAGCAAAAGAGATCGAAATATATAATGATTGAATGTTGATTCTTTGACTCCGTTGTATCGTTGTTTTCTATATACTGATAGTGTTTTGCTATTAACTCGTTAGCTGCTGTCCGGCTCTATTGCCAACGGGACACTGCCTTACATATTCTGCTTAACTGTAAATACTGTATAGTTTTACAATACTTCTGGGATTTACCTAGCTCTTGTTTTGTCATATAATGTGTAGCTCAAATGAAGGAGTTTTTACATGTTGTATTATATTAAATGGTTTCTTTTTTAAGTGTGTGTGTGTCTAAGTAAAGAGACTACAAACCTTTGGTCGTCTGTTGAAAATCGCATTGTTGCTGTGCTCAATTTGTTGTAGAAAGCAATATTAATTCTGAAACATTTCTTTTAAACACTAATAGCTCAATTTAATTTCCGAATTAAGCAGGTTGGTTCGGAGGAAAATAGCGACTTGGGTTGCGTAGATAATTAATTATACACAGTGATTAATGGGAACTGGGACCGGCCGCTGTTTGCCAAAAATCCGTCAATCCTCCAACAAACGTTTCCATCCTTCGAGGGCAAACTTAAGTCACTTATTTACTGGTATATGTTGCATAATTATTATTACACGTTTTGCAAATGTATGAAAACCACGAGGCTTTTCCCTTCCATTTGGAGCTTTTGTGCCCCGAACTTGTAATGTATGCAAGATCCAGCAGACCCATTTACCTGATGTAGTACTGCAGCAGGGAACAGCTTGATTGTGCAGAATGCTGAGTCTCTGCTGATGTCCAGCAGTTAACCAGACGAGTAAGAGGTGTGTCATCATGTTAAAGAGCAGCTATACAAACAGATGTGGGATTCCAGTTCTGTCTTAAGTATTTGGCAAGATAATTCAAGCTCATGCAATACTCTTGTTGGGAATTTTTAAAGATTCTTCCTGTTTGCTGTCCTCTCTACTCGCTGTTCCCATTTCTGTGTATATTCCACCGTCCCTCCTGTGAGCTGGAAACATGAAATAATTCAGTCAGATATTCCCGGTATGAACAAGGCATACAGATGAGGCTGGTCTGATTATGAATCTCAGTAACCTGGGACGCTTCAGGCTGAGAGCAGAGAAATTTTCCATTTGCATTTATTTACAGTTTGCATTTCATACCTTCATAATGCACTATAACGGTCAGTATAAGCATTAAGGATGCTTTGTACTACATTATAAAGGTATCAATAGTGCATCATAGATTAGAGCTTCATAAGACATTCATAATGCATAATAAACATGGCTATAATGTTATGCCTTTTTATAAATATTTATAGCTATGTTTATAATGCTTTATGAATGCATTATTAAATTAGTACGAATGTGTTTATAAATGACTAAAATCATGGCCGTAAGTAAAGTGTTACTGTTACAATTAACACTGTTAATATAAGGGGAAAATCCTCATACCTTAAAAGATTAATCCACATTGCACAAATTCAATGAATTAATGTGAAATTACATAAGACACTGAAAGTATGATGGTCCAGTATATTCTTGTTGTTCTGGATGTCGCGTGTTTGACTGTTCACTCTTGTCGCAGGTGCTTGAAAGAAGACGTGCTCACACACTGCTAAGATATGAATGCAAAATACGAGGAGTAATTTATGATCCTGTCAGCTCCAAACAACACTAAATCCATTTTTATTTTCGCCTAACACACATTGCACTCTCCCCAAAATGACTTTCTCTGGCACTGTTATGTAGAGTGAATGGATATGTAGGGCCTTTGTGTCATCATTCGGGCATTTTATCCTTTTTGTACAGTTTGACACTAACATCTTTCTTCCCATTGTGGCCTTTAGCTCAGCTAATTATGTTTTCCTGTGTGGGGGCTATTCATTTTTGACAACACTTTTCCCCCCCAAGCCTCGGGCTGAGTTCATATTATTGCTTAACAGGAGCAGTTGGTCTGTGAGGCCTGAGGTGGGGGGGGGGGGCATGCTAGGATTTACCTCTTTCTTAACCCTCTTGTTTAGAAATCCCAGCCATGACATACCTGTCTTTATAAGATTAAAGGTGCCTTTGAGAGGCGTGCTTGAAAGGGTCAAAGGTCACTTGAGACCAAAAGGAAGGTGAATGCAGAATATAGACACGAAAATGTGTGATTATCGCATCTAGGTGACCTTTAAAAAAGAAAAAAAAAACAGCCACGAGTCGTTACGCATTTCAGAAATTGAAATTGTGTTGTCTTGTGGCCTGATTGCTTTGCGCATGTTTGACGGGGTGATAGAGAAGGTTAACCGACTCAGTGCAGGATAACAGGATTGAAGGGATCGTCCAGGGTTTAATCTTAGTCCAAATTCTCAAAGAGAACCTTTTGACATGCGGCCGTCAGGCAGCTTTCTGTTCCTAACAGTATTGCTTTTATCGGTTCACAAAATTCTGTTTCTGAAAGCAGAAGGAGAACTGTGATCGAAAGAGGAGAGCATAACCAGCATGCCGTTCTTAGAACCTTAGCAGGTACCTGCACAGCCTTCTGGCACGGCGACGTCGTCGGCTGCCCTCAAACAAGAGTGTGTGTTAGTTTCCCGTCTGCCGAGCACAAAAAAAAAAAACAACAAAAAAACTGATCTGTCAAGTGCTGTTTATGTAGGAGAAGCAGGCAACTGGAGGCTTTCGGTGGGGCTCCTCAGCCGAGCGGCTTTGTGTCTCTGGGCTGGAGCCTGTTTCTGAGAGAGGGAGGGAGGGAGAGACAGAACAAGCCCTGACAAGAGCTTAGGGGATTAAGTTCATTCTTAGTGCCAGTTTGTCACCGAGCGGTGCCCTCTACCAAGGGTATGAATGTGCCGATTCTCTCCCCTCAACAATCATAAGGAAGCCTGACCGCTAATATCCGCCGGGGTGGGACCTCGCCGTAAGCACAGCCTGCCAAAAAAGCTCCCATGTAAACACTTTGGTACAAGTCGCACAAGTTGCACTCGGAGCTCAACCGTGTTATACGGCTCCGCAGAAAGAGTATAAGTTCTCAGCTCTTGTTCAGTTTCTTCTAAAAAACTCAACTTCTGCAAACGAATCTTTTGAAGATCTGATAGAAAGACAAAACACAAATCTGGAAATTTGTAAATGTAATGGATTTGTGTGCACTCAGAAAAAAAGGGGAAAAATTTGTACCTTTGCTTGTCACTGGGGCTGTACCCTCAAGAGTCTGCCAATTGTACCCTTAGCTGTAGGGAATTGTACCTTTTAAGGTACAGAAATGGACTCTGAAGAACTTTTCTGTACCCTTGATGGTACGTTAATGCTGTTTGTACTTTTGAGATGTTCCTCAGAGTTCATTACTGTACCTTAAAAGGTATGATTACAATTTTTGCCCTTTTTTCTGAGAATGTAAGTGTCCCAGTAGATGATGATTAATGAAGCCATAGTCAGCGAAACACCAGGGAAGCCGTGACTCTGGGATCTCCAAACGGGAACTGTCAGCTGATCTTCCCTGAGTGAAACTTTCACACAGCCTGGAACTTTCCAGAAGAAATCCTGCAGGCTCGCCCCTGGCTTCTCCATGCCGTGGTTCTGAGCTGGTTTATATAATGGTGCCGTTCGCAGTGATGCCACCGCTGCTGAGCCTTGGGAGCCTGTCTGGCACTGGAAGGGCTTGCGATTCACTGGAGGTGAAAGGGGAAGAAACCGCAGGATTAGCAGAGTCCCGGTTCCTCTTTCAGACGCTTGCAGCTCCGCGAGTCACATGGCAATTATCAGCAATTAGGAGTTTTGTTGGAGCCGCGTTTTTATCAAAGACGAGGAAGCCGCTCAAATAACAGGCGCTGAATTTCGCTTTTCCACTTGATAATTAGCATACAAACCTGTAGCCGGCATTAACCAATAAACGTAAAGCCCCTCGACTCCATTCTCTGCTGATAGTAATTGATAGACAGGAGAAAGCCCAAGTGGTCATGTGACCATCATAGTAAGCCTTAAAGGAAGCTGCATCCTGTCATTATAAGATTATTTGCCATGACTCTTGCCACCTCCCTCTCCAACCAACCCCCCCGCCCCGGCCTTTTTAACCAGTCTTTCACCAACTGTGCAGTTTTCCAAATCAAATCATCACCAAATGGACTTTTGTCACCATGACAACCACATCAGTACCACAATAGTCGTCCTTTGTGTTCCCCGAGTTGGCAAGAGTTTCACAGAATGAGTTGGAATTTCCCGGTGTGTTTTTTTTTTTCAAACTGCGAGATCGGTCGCAATTCTCACTCGCTGCTATGACTCTTTTTGTGCAGTGTGTACACATATTAGGCGGGAGCTTTTGCCGTCCTGTACGCTGCCCGTCCATAAATAAACACGCGTTTGATTAGCGAGCGGCTCCGTGCCCTGACGGCGACAGCGCACACGGGCACCTTCATCCAGTTACTTGCACCAATTATTTCAGACAACTGTATACTGTGTGGATTAGAATGAGTTATGCAAATCTGCAGAGGGATCTGATTGTTGCATGCATCTATCCTCTTGGGGGG